GATCAAAATTATTCAAAAATGTATAATGGTAAATATACTCCACTTTTTAGTTGAAATAAATCAGTGAATCAAAATAAATCTTTGATGTAAAACATGTATTCAAACTTCAAGTTTTTTACGGCTACACTTGAAAAAATATTAAATTTCAAAATGTAATATCGGCACTCTTACGAAATGCTCACAAAATTCCGAAGAAAAAATTATACCCTTACTGCGGTAGAGAAACGGAATCTTATATAAGCTGTAGAATTTAGGGATTTGTCAAGTAGATTGAAAACGACTTTGTAATCGAGAAAGAGACAATCTAAAGGGGATTTCTAACTCGAACGGTTCTAAAATTAGGTAAGTATTATTATTTCAGGAATAATGATGGGAGAGAAAAAATATAAACTCAAATAATTTTGTTATTGTGCGGATGATGCTATTCGTGTATTATAATCAGGTAAAGATCGAACTTAAATCATAATAACATATTGAATGAAGCACTAATTAAAGATATACTTAGTTTATACATATTATGTATAAAAGAGGCAAAATCTCTAATTAGTCCAGTCTGGTTATGCAAAAATCATCGATTTCAGCGCAAAATTTTTTGCAAATATCTGAAGCTTTTAAGACATAGGTGGGGGTCACTAGATGACGAATGGGTGAAAAAGTACTCGTATTTTTACCTTGCGTTTTTTTTAAACGATAATTTATGATCACAATTTAATTTTTGTCTATTATAAGTTTTTTCCCTTATATTTTACATAAACAATATTTATTTATTTATCATTTTGATGTATCAAGAATATCTTTATTTTCCCGTTTTTTAAATTAAAATTAATAAACAATTTACGGAGATATTTGCAAGAAAGCAGTTTTTTTTGCACTAATTTATATGTTTTATTAATTTTTTTATTAACAAAATAAAATGTTATTAATACTTTAAAACATTTGAACATAGAGAAATTACCGTCTTTTAAATTTGTGCGAAATTGTTTCCGATAGGTCAAATAGTTTCTTCTTCTTCTTCAGATGCAAATCTACTAATGGATGTTAGCGATCACATTTTCCATTAATTCTCTATTTCTTGCAATATGTATCAGAGATTGTATGTCGTTAATCCCTGTCCATTGCCTTATGTTTCGGAGCAAGGACATTTTCTTGCGTCCCATTCCTCTCTTGCCTTCAATTTTACCCTCGATTATAAGTTGGAGGAACTGGTATTTTTCATTTCCCATGATGTGACCTAGATACGCCGTTTTCCTTTCTTGATGGTTTCGAAAAGTTGGCGTTCTTGGTTTATTCTTTTAAGGACATCTATATTTGTGATATAGAAATAGTTTAATTTAGTTTGTGAAATAGTTTAAAAGGTATTTATTTTATTTAGACCTTAGCTAAATATTTAAACTATTAAACTTGCTCTATTTATGAAGCTAGACACATTTAGCAACATTCATAGGATTCTTTAAGTCGTAAACGTTTGAAAAAGGGATATGTTTTTTTACTTTTCTAACAATTATAGCAGTAAAAACTTCTATATTTTTCAAACAACAGTCTTGTATGTACAACCAATGGATAGCTGGTAAAAAACCTCATATTAAAAAAAACATCTATGACCAATAGAAACGAAGTTAGGGACTATTTAAAAAAAATCATACCTCTATTGTTTATAAACATTGAAATAAAATTTGCACAAATTTTGAATGAAAATCTAAACTTTATATTCAAACATATAGCTATCAGTAAGCTATAATAATATAAACTTATAGCTATTTTTATTATTTATTGATAATAATAAATAATAAATTTTGTACCGGCATCATTTAATTAACTTTGTACCGACTGACCTGAAGATGCTTTGCAAATTGTAGAAAGCGAAACCGGTCGTCTAGATAGTTAAATAAAACTGATTGTCAGTAATTTTTATTCATTTCTTTTTTACCTACACATTTATTTATGTTTTTAGATTTAACTATCTCCAAAGATAAAAAATTATACTGTCCTTATGGGCCTACATTTTATATGTATTCATGTGAATAGGAGGAAGGTCATCTATATACTCGAAAACCGGTAATAAATCTAAGTATGCGTAAAACAGGCGGGATGAGTAGCAGCTGTCTTGCTCCAAAATTTCGTCAAAATAGTCCCTAACTTTGTTCCTATTGGTCATAGAAGGTTATTTTAATTGTGGGTTTTTTTACCAGCTATCCAATGGTTGTACGTACAAGTCTGTAACTTAAAAAATGTAAAAGATATTACAATTATTTAAAAGTAAAAAATATACCCCTTTTTTTAAACGTTTATTTGTAAATAATTTCGACCAAAACGCAATATTCATTTAACTTCTGACATAGTTTAAGTCTTACAGAATCCTATGAAATTTGCTAAATATGTCTAGTATCATTAATAGAGCAAGTTCAATAGTTTAAATATTTAGCCCCAGGGATAAATAAATTAAATAACCTTTATTAAAGTATTTGGCCGATCGGGGGGAAATTTTCTACAAATTTAAGAGACGGTAATTCCTCGATGTTCAAATGTATTAATAACATTTTATTTTGTTAATAACAAAATTAATGAAATTTAAAAACAGTTCTTTTGTAAATATTTCCGTAAATTATTTACCAATTTTAATTCAAAAAAACAGAAAAATAAAGATATTCTTAATATAAAAAAATAATATAAATATTGTTCGTGTAAAATATAAAGAAAAAAACAAAAAATCAAACTGTGACCATAAATTATTTTGTTTAAAAAAAAACGCAAGGTAAAAAATACGAGTACTTTTTCATCTATTCTTCATCTAGTAACTCCCCCTATGTCTTAAAAGCTATCTGCGAAATTAAAAGCTATCAGATATCTGCGAAAAATTTTTCGACTTTTTTTTATACCAGACTGCGCTAAATTTTGGTCAAATCCCGAATTCGATTTCCGACCTACAAAATAAGATTAATTGAAGAGTTGTCAGAGGAAGATTTCGATATACGTGAAGAGTTTGCAGACAAGAGATAAAATATGTTACGATTAAAACGATCCACATTTTTTGAGTAATATGTATTATGTTTTGCAATGGGGCCAGTTTTTTAATTTATGAGAATCAGCATAATTGTAGAACTAATTACGTAACAATCCTTGTTGTATTCGTAAGTACCTTACACAGTATCCAAAAAAACCTAATATATGGTCTGGAATCATAGGCGACAAAATAAGTGATCCCTTTTTCATTGGGAAACTTTCAGATGTAAATCAACTACATTTTAACATAGAAATTTTATTATTCGAAACTTTTAGACAATAACAGTGTCTCAAAGGACAATATTTGGCTGTGAGCATATTGAGCAAGCTATTGAGCACCTAGTTTTGGAAGAGAAATTTGAAAATAAAAAAACTCACATATTCTTGAAGAAATGTTTTAAAATAAGTAAATGAGTAAAAATAATACGTTGTTTTATCGGTAAAGATGACACTATCCGAGTGCCGAAGGTGCCGAAAATATACTGCATTGGCACTAAATGAAAACACGCGCTGAAAATATTGTCATGCATTTACTTGGACCTAAGCGAGATATAAGGCATAAAAACAAAGCTTTAGAAATATGAGAATACTTCTTTTTTCCAAAGATATTGAAAAAAAAAAATGTTACCAATAAATTTATATAAACTTTGAAAATAAGGCTATTATCGAGCACAAGTTAATTAAATCTAGCCCAAGTACTTTCGCTTAAAATAGCATCTTCAGGGGCATTTCGTCAAAATGTAAACTATCCGGCAAGCGTAGAATGTGAAAATTATATAAATGCAAGCCAACTACATTTCGGAAAATGGCGTTCTTTTAGACCGACTGATTTCTTAGAAATTAAAGCAATATTGGGACTTTGATGTATTTCTGGTGCTAGTAAAGATAACCGGATAAATGCTGAAGATTTACTTGGGACAAACGAAATGGCTATGAATATATTCAGACTTACTATGTCCCAGATACAATATATTTTAGTTTTTGTTGAAATATATTAATTTTGAAGATTATTTATTAGCTGTAATTAGGGAAATTAACGACAAGTTGGTATCCATTTTGTTACATCATTACAATATGTCAGCATTCACCAAGATTGACTAAAAACTTAAAGTATGCCGAGGTAAGTGTCCTTTTAAAATTTATATGCCTAAAAACTGAATCGCTACGGAATAAAAATGTATGACCTAGTGGACGCCAAAATGTTTTATACTGCAAATTTGAAAGTGAACATAAGAAAACCGCCTGCCACATTATTACAATAGGATACTTCAAATTTGGCATTTGTGATTCTTCTTTGTTCACCTACCTTTGGATCAAATACAAATGTCACGCTTAACAACTTTCTTATCAGATTACCTATGATGAAAATACTAAGGAAACACCGTCTTATTACAGTTGGGATATTAAGTCCAAATAAACGTTAGACACCTCCCCAAATTTTATTAGCCAGACCAGAAAAATCCATTCTATTTTAGAGATAAGTGTACGCTCGTTTCGTATTCCCCAAAACGAAAAATAAATATCCTGTTAGTATCGACCATGCATTACCATGATGCTGTTGACAAGAAAACTGTCAAACGGTAGATAATCATGGACTACAACATGGATGTGTGATCATTTTTTATAGTGCCATGAACGTTACTGGAATAAATAGTTGTCATTTACACCTCAAACACCCAAACAGAAATAGATAGAAGAACATTCTTAGAACATTTAGGACTTCGATTGTTTAACGCACATATTCGTCGACAAGCACTACAGCAAACCATTGAAACCATAGAAACTGAGAATGTTGCTCCCCAGAACCAAACTCATGAACGATATACATACTTAAGCACTAGAAAAAGTCAAATAACAAGATATTCTTCCACAAACTGAAAAAAAAAATATTTGTGTCTAGAACATTTAACGAAATTATGTAAGCATTGTTATGATAATTATAATGCTTAACATTTGAAATAATAGTTTTACTCATTTTTTTAGTACATTTTTATACTTACGGATTCATAACAACGACTACAACTGCATTATCTAGTCGTTTAAACGCAACCACTTTCACATTCTCGTCACACTGATTGGAATATATTCTGGCTGAATATCTGGGAACAAATTTAGAGAAATGTCCAAGAGCGTAGTACATGGGCTGTTTATAAAATTCTTGACCTGTTGCGTTGACGATAATTGGGGAATCAACAAAGTTGTCGATGTACGTTGGTCCGCCTCTTAGGTCAAGAGCCATGTTCCAATCAATCCAGCCGGTTACCCATCGGTTGACCACCTAAAAATTTTCAATAATACACAAAAATTTGCATAGGTAAAACAATGGATAGCTGTTTTTCAATATATGTTTTATATTCATTTTTAAAACATTCATAAATTTTAAAACTACCAAACTATTGCCTTTTCTCTCATGTATCTAAATTGTTTATAAAATTACTAACAGGACTGTCTTCCCGATTAGATTTCGGTGAACCCAAAAAGCAAGTTTTCAGACCGGTTATGTTTAAACGATCACTTTTAAGAAATTAAAAGAAATAGGCTGCATGATAAATTACTTCTGGAAGGAATTCTTACAAAAGCTTAAAAAAACTGGCCCTTATTTCTATTCGTTTTTGTGGTTATTAATATTTATTTATATCATGTGGATAAACAGGAAAACAGGGGAACTTGTTTATTTTACCAGTATTGTTGTTAAAAGTAAGCTTAATCCTTCAATATTCTTCGAGTTTTAATCATAATGTTTCGTCAATTTTCTAACATATTTTTCTAACTGAGTTTTCTTGTTTTACTTGTAAAGTATCATCAACTAGCCTCTAACGTCCACTGCTGTACATAGGCCTCTCGCATGCTTTTCCACTTCGTCCGATTTTGCGCCATCTGAATCCGATAAATACTTTTTTTTTCAGACACATTGGAATATTAGACCTAAAAATATTCTTCATCTTTCCAAATGCAGCCCGAGCGAGGTTTATTCTTCTTTTTAGCTCAATTGTTTGGTTGTCTCGACTTATTCTGATCTCATGGCCCAAGTATTTATAGGACTCAACTGGCTCAATATCTTTGTCTTCTACTGAGATGTTTTTTTAGTGGACTAAATTTGTCAGAAATTGTGTTTTTGAAAAAAATATTTTAAGACCAACTCTTTTTGTGACAGTTTGGAGTTCTTGGAGCATTATCTGTGCCCGATCAAAGCTGTCTGCAATAAGAACGATATCATCTGAAAATTTAAGATTATTTAAAAATTTTCCATCTACATTGATTCCCTTTTCGTTTCAATCTATTGTGTTACAAGCGTATTCTAGCAAAGTTGCAAATAATTTAGTAGTTGTCTTGTTATCTTTTTGCCAAACGTCTCTTTCAATACGAAAAGTCCTAGTATCTTCATTAAATCTTATACAGGCTGTAGCATGTTGATAGATGTATCTGATGGGGGATATGTATCGGTGATCTATTCTATATTGTGTTATAGCTTGGAGCATTTCACTTTGATTGACCGTATCAAATTCTTTTTCAAAGTCGACAAAGACAAGTATTAGGGGTCTATTATGTTCAATGGTTTTTTCAATTAACGACTTAATGGTTTGCAAATGGTCATTTGTTCCGTATCCAGCTCTAAATCCTGCTTGCTCGCAAGGTTGATAGAAGTTTAGTTTTGATGTCAACCTATTAGGTATTATCTTTATAAATAACTTATAAACGTGAGATAACAAGCTAATAGGTCTATAGTTCTTTAGCTCTGTTATATCTCCCTTTTTGTGCATGACTACTATAACCGCTTTATTCCACTGAGATGGTGTAACCTCTTTTGAAAGACATAAGTTATATAATTGTGTCAATGCTTTCAATACTGTCTTTCCTCCTGCTTTAACTGCCTCAATATCGATTTGGTCATCACCAGCTGCTTTATTGTTTTTCATTCGATTTAATGACTTTGAGACTTCTTCAATTGTTATTTCTGGGATATCCTTTGAACCCACATTCTAAAGTATATTATGTAGTAAAATATACTTGTAAAATATATTTTAATGTTATTTTAAACTGGTTCATATTTGTATTCGTTTTAGTGACTATTTATAATTATTTATATTATATCGATAAACAGGAAAACAGGGGAATCTGTTTAGATTACTAGTATTGTAGTTGAAAGTAAACTAAGTATTTATGAACCTCTTTTGCAGGTGGATGTTTTCCCAAGTTATCTGGATCTAAAACGTGTTTAAAATGGATTAATTTTTTAAACCTAGTCAATCAAGGTTTTTCTATCAATTTTATAACATTAACTGATTTTTCTTGTTTAATTTCTAAAGTATATTTGGGTATTATAAAACCTTTTTTATATTCAATAACCTTTTGTTCTTCTTAACAATTTTTTTCAGCAGATAGTAATGTTATACAGCTATTTATACATATACAAAGAATAATTATTTTCTATGACTTCATTTAAAATTTTCTATGACTTCATTCAGTAATTATGTAATTTTTAAAACAAACAGTAAATATTTTAAACAATTTTATTATTTTAAACTTTGACTAAAACTACTAGAATTTTCAGAACAGTCTATAAAAATTGTTCACACACTCGTATTTGCTCAGATTTATTTTTGTGCTTTCACGTTAAAAATATCTCGATCAATTTATATTGCCCACCTAACCCAACTTGGAAACTCAAATAAAAAATACATTAAGGTATCCTATCAGGCCATATCTTATTTAATAATAACTAAGGAAAATTGGTCTAAATGTGAGGAAAATCTCAGTTTGAAATTTAATTGAACTTGAGCCTCTACAATTCCATTTTTAACTGCTAACATAGTGATATTACGAAGATCAATTTCGTCTACGTTTTTGATATAACACGATTGACTTAATTGTTATCCCAAATTTTAACAATCATGAAAAAATGTTGTCAGTAACTTATAATCTCTAAATTTCTTTAGAATATTATACTTTTTGTCCTAGGAATTTTAATTTTTGTTTAACATTTTTATTATATCTACTTTAAATTTGGCTATAAAAAATAAATAAAGTAAATTTAGAAATTACTGTGCTAATTTAAAATTAATTAGTTGTATTTTTTATTTACTGCGTTTAACTGTGAGGGTTATTTACTACATTTAGTTTGTATCCAATTAAAACTTCTTACATTGCGTATAAACTTTATATACAACAAGAATAAAACTGACATTTTATTTGAAAATTCTATTTCTGCGGAAATTTCTATGATAACACAGCACATCTAAATCTTGCTTGAATGCGGGGATTTTATCAAAAGAGTTTACTAACCTGAATTATATTATTTGCATAAGCTTCTCCCCTCTCCCACGAACCAAGCAACACATTAAACTCCTCTTCGACACCTAAAATCAATAATATATTACACATCTACAGTACTAGTCTAAAGTCTTAATTATTTTCGAAACTATAAAAACTTAAATAAATAAATTTTTGGATAACAGAACAAGCAAAATGGCGGACGGACAATATTTTGTAAACGTATTTTAAATGGAATCATATGGCAGGAAATATGGCATTTAAAGATTTGTGTATCATTCAGTATATTTTTATACAATTCTGATGCTCTGTTTTAATAAGTTGATGATATTCATTAGCGATTAGATAAAATAAAAATATTGACTAATCCTAATAATTTGGTAGTTCTTAGCTTTTAAGTGAAACAATATTAATTTATTGCTTTCAATGTTCCACATACAGTCCGTCCCAAACCCTTCTTTCAGTGCGTCATAGTTGTTCGAATTCTCTATAACGCTTTAAGCTAGAAATGACAAAAAAAAAAACGTGAGTTTGTTATTATTATACATAGAACTTAGAAAATTAGGTACCGTTCACGGGTATTCGCATATTAAAGCGAATTCCACTTACCGATGAATATTTAGTTGGAGTTTAGAATACACTAAATATATAACCAATCAATGATGCACATAAATATAATTTGACGCAGAAGGTCTCGATCGTGACAGTGACAGTACTTTCACAATGTCAACTGATAAAATGATCATTGTCATTTGGTCAGTTGAACTGTCAAAGTTTGAATACGCATTTCAAAGTTTTCTGCGCATTTTTGTAATTTAAGTACAGTATATTTTACGAATTTGCGCTTATTTTGGATTAGAAATTAAAGCTTGGATAATTGTTATTCCAGGTTGGTTTTTTTTTGAAGTTTGATGGTGGAAGGTGGAAAAATACAAGTAAGAGCCCTACTAACATTTTCTTTGTGATCCTATTCCTTAATATATTTCTTAATCTTCTATATAGTCAAACCACATTTAAACGTTTTGGTAGATTTAAACTTTGTTAACGTTCGCCATTATGGAGGAAAAAATTCCTCCCGACCGGCCACCAGATCCCGACCCTAATATAAGTCAAAATCTGCCTAAAAAGAATGCTACAGAGAATGTAAACATTAAGGAAAAAAGTTTATATTCTGAATCAGATTTGGGGCCCTTTGAGGTCTTTGTTCAGGGTAAAAATAGTAATGTGGGTAACTATCATGTCCTAAGTATTGCTAAGACTATCTTTAATTTAAAACTGAAAGATATTTCTAAGTTTGATAGAAAGGGAAAAAATAGAGTTGGGGTAGTATTCAAGGACAGACAATCTGCCAATTCGTTTATCCTTAGGAAGGACTGGGAAGAATTAGGTTATGAGGTTTTCATTCCCACTCATCTTATCTCTTGTAAAGGTATTGTTAGGGGAGTTTTTAAATCTTTGTCAGAAGAGGAAATTAAAATGTCAACTTCTACTAATCTACCCTTTTGTAAAGTTATCTCTGTTAAAAGAATGAATAGAAGGGTTATGCAAAATAATTCAGAAACCACTTTCATCCCTACAGGTACTATTTGTTTAACTTTTTCTGGAAGGAATATCCCTAAAGAAATTGAAATTTATGGTCTGCCTATGAAGGTGATACCCTTTGTTAGTCCAGTTCTCCAATGTCATAATTGTCTTTTATATGGGCATTCTCTTTCTCAATGCAAGGGAAAAAACAGATGTGTTACATGTGGTACAAATCATGATTCTCCCTCGTTTGTACGGTGCAGTAGATTTTGTATGTTCTGTAAAACAGCAGATCATGATTCTAGACATCCTGAATGTAAAGAAAGAAAAAGACAAAAGAGTATTAAAGAACTTATGTCATTTGCCAACTTATAATATTATGAAGCTAACCAAAACATTCCAAGGGAAACATCTAGCCCAAAGTTGAACATTAAGGATTTTCCTAATCTTGTAACTAATCCATCCTCTGCAAATAGTATTTCAATTCAAGAGAGGAGATCAGTTGCTACATCCCTGTCTTCAAATTCTGCTTCCTACAGTCAGATTACAAAATCTACTCCATCAAAAAGGAAAAGAACATTAAATATAGGCTTTGATCAAAGTTCTCATTCTAAAGTATTGAACAATCCTAATGGGAGATCCCCCAAAGAATCTCCTAGTCACTTTATAAATAATTCTCAGACCCAAAGAGATTTAAATCAGGCTATATTAATGCTCAATCAAGATCACAAGGATTTGGTTATGACATTTATTGGTGAATTGATTAATAAAAATTATACTTCTCCTAAGGATCATGGTGGATTAAATGTAGAGATTGGTAATCATAAAAACAAAAGTGTATCACATAATGCTATAAGTACTAGTCAGGAACGAGGAGGGATGGAGGTATCTGGGTCTGAGGACTCAGAATACTAATTCCCCTCTCGTCTTGACCTGGTACATACATGTTTTTAACAATTTATATTTTCAATCATCACGCCCCACTAACTATTATACAATGGAATATAAGATCTTATAATACCAATGTTGATAACTTAAAAGTCCTTATTAAAGACTATAACCCTGATATTGTCCTCATTAGTGAGTCTTGGCTTTCTAACCAACATACAATTAGATGCAGAGGGTATCACATTATCAGAAAGGATCGAGGTGATGGATATGGGGGCTTAATTACCCTTATCAAATACAATATAGATTTTCGGGATATTCATATTAACAATCCTGGTTTTAATTCAGATGTTCAATTTCAACTCACCTTTTTACCCAAGTATAATTTAAATATATTAAATATGTATTGTCCTTTGGACAATCTCATTTCCAAAAAATGCTGGTCTTCTTTGGTCAACTCGATTAACAAACCTCTACTGATCATGGGTGATTTAAATTGTAATCATAGAGCATGGGGAAGCTCAAGAGATAGTGTTAATGGCAGAAATATTTTGCAAACTGCAGAAGATCTTAAGTTAATTTTTCTTAATGATGGTTCTCCAACAAGATTGGTTCGTCCTGGTAGCAGCAAATCAGTAGTTGACTTATCATTGGCTTCAATAGATGTGGCACCCAAAATTAGTGGATGGACCACCATTCCAGATACAGGATCTAGTGATCATTTTCCCATTCTATGCTATGTCGGTATCCCAACACAGGACTTTAATCAGGTTTCTAAAAGAAGAAATTTCAAAAAGGCTGATTGGGTTTCTTTCCATGAAAAACTAGAGTGTATTTTCTCATCGTTTCCAATTGAGGACTATGAAAATTTTATCGAATATATATCATCAGTGGCAGACACATCAATTCCTTGGACCTCCTCTTATAACAACAAATATCACATTCCATGGTGGGATGATTCATGTGCTCATATAATACAAAAGAGAGTTTCAGTTATTAATACATTTAAAAATTCTCCTAGTGTTGAAAACTATATAGAGGCTAAAAAATTCATAGCGAAAGCTAGAAAATTCCTAAAATTAAAGCGAAAAATAAGCTTTAGATCCTATTGTAGCAAACTAAATAGAAACACTCCCCTTAAAGATGTTTGGAATAAAATTAACAAGGTCTCTGGTAGTGAATTGTCTCTTTTATCTCAATTGCCACCAGAGGAGGTAGCTCAGGAAATTTTAACATTTCTCTCACCTATTTCTGGCGACTTTGAATTACTTTTCAGTCCTCTGCAGTATTCTGAGAAACCCATATCATTTGATGAATATCACAATACTCTTTTTTCTAAAACTGATTCTGCTGCGGGTCCTGATCAGGTTTCATACTCAATGTTAAAAAATTTACCGCACTCTGGATCATTACTCTTAATTCAATTCTTTAATGAATGTATCCGGAAGGGACAGGTTCCTCTTTCGTGGAAACAAACGGTCATATTACCCATTGTTAAGCATGGAAAGGATAAAACTGACCCACTTAATTATAGGCCAATAGCTCTATCATCGTGTGTTGGTAAAATGCTAGAAACATTAATTAAAAACAGAATTGAGTGGTTCTTAGAACACAATCATATTTTAAATCCATTGCAACTTGGTTTTAGAAGGGGTAGAGGTTGCATGGAATGCATTTCATTACTAAATTCTAAAATACTACAAGGATTTTCATTGAATCAATTTACCGTAGGACTTTTCCTAGATATTTCAGCAGCTTATGATAGTGTCAACATCTCTCTTTTATACTCTAAACTAATTAAATATAACATTCCTATTCAACTAGCAAATGTCATTTATTCTATATTAAATGATCGTAGTATTTATGTAAAGGACCAAACTGGTCAAATTCATGGTCCAAGAAAAACTAATCAGGGTTTACCTCAAGGCTCCCCTCTAAGTCCAATATTATTTAATCTGTATTCCCTATCTTTATACGAGATTATTCCCAACGGTTGTAATCTGATACAGTATGCAGATGATTTGGTTATTTTGGTTAGTGGGGCAGATCTACTTAAATTAATTAATTCTTTGAACTTATTAATGGAAAGGATGGATCTCTGGTTATTAGAACACAACTTTAGTCTATCTTACAATAAGTCCTCAGCAATTATATTTCAAATAGGAAATCGTAAAATTAATCCCCCAAACGTAAAAATTAGAGGTCATGCAATTAAATGGGTCGATACAGTGAAATATTTAGGGGTAGTTATTCAAAAAAACCTAAAGTGGAAATCATATGTGGATTTAATAGAATTAAAAGTAAGTCGTAGCTTGAATGTAATGAGAGCTCTATGTGGAACATATTGGGGTAGTGATCCTAAAACTCTCCAGATAGTTCATAATGGTTTGATACAGAGTCATTTAGATTATGGATGTCAAATATTATCAGATTGTCCCAAGGCGCTAATCAACAGGTTAGATAAATTACAATATAAGAGTATTCGTATCATAACAGGATGTATGAGATCTACCCCTATTTATGCATTGCTAGGTGAAAGTGGTCAAATTCCTCTCAAGTACAGATGGGAATGGCTTAATTCTAAATTCCTCCTAAAAAATCTGATGCTAATTAACAACCCAATAATTTCTGCCTTGAATGGATTACAGATATCAATGCAATCAAATCCTAATTA